CGTCTCAACTCTATGTTCTTTGCTGTCCCTTGCATCGTGTTCTCCTGAACAGTCTTGTCCCATTCTACGGTTGGTGTTGTGTATGTTCGAAGTTAATCTCTTCACAAAAAAAACGTGTTAAAAGTGAGACGAAACACGAATATTCAACCAAACCAAATAATTTTAGAAATTTGGCATATTACAAAAGCGTTTATTTAGTTAGTAAAATCCAAAAAATTAAACAGACTACGGAGAACCTCGATTCTGTGTCTGCATTTTCAGACTTTGTGATTATTGAAATGCGAGCATCCAGCAGACTGGGGACACCAATCCTAACAGATTGACGTTAATACAACTCACTCCTCCTTAGTGAGGTTGTGATTACTCTAAGATGTGGATAGCCGGAAAACTAAACCCAACGAGTTTGTCGTTGGTAACCACTCTTCTGGTAGCTCACTATGTTTATCAGCTTCTGGTCAACTTACCATAGTCAGGTGAACCATGTTGTATTCCGCTTTAAGACGAGGAACTGTAAAGGGTCCTTCATATACAGTTTTGAGGGGTCGTTGTATGCTTCAGTATGTCCAATGTTAACTCGCACAGCGTTGCGAATAGCGAGTAACACAATTAGAAGAGCGCTACGCACGCTGTGATACGTTTGCAAGTGTGTCTTACGGCCATCTGGAGAAGAATACTAAAGGTTGCCATGTGTTGTTTATTCATTGTTGTAAGGCTCCTAAGCTTTTCGAATCAGATGCGCCTACTGCGATACTAATGGGGGCATTGATGTTCTGGTGTGCGAGCAGAGTTTTCCTGGTGATAATTTCACTAACTGGGGAGAATGCTCTTCTCGTACTGCCATCCATATTGATGAGTCTCGCATTTCCATGGAGTTGTTCTGTCGCGGGGATCATGAGAGACGCGCGATTTGGCATGAACCGCCGATAAACGTTAGCCGGACCGTTGAACGTACGCAATTGAATGGCGGTGCTGGGTAGTCAAGAGCGGCCGCCAATTTACTTTTCAGAAGGTGAATACCTTGGGAATCAATAATGTGTCCGAGAAAATCTAGGGATTAGGTTCCAGTTTGAGATTCTTCAGTGTTTGTAGAGTTACAATATTTTAGAATTGTTTAAAACAAGGCCCATATGCTGGAGATAAGAGTTTCCGTCCGGATTTGCCATCAAGTGGCTATTTACCCGAGTTTGTATTAAGTTGAAACTCCCAAGGGCGTAATCGCTGAATCTTCGAAAATTATGTGCAGCATTTTGTAAACCAAAAGGGCTGCGCCGAGATACGTGGAGTTCGAAAAAAGTAGTGATAGTGGTTTTAAAAAAGGTGTTGGCAACCATAGGAATTAGGTTTCATGCTTTGAACCGATCGATTTTGAAAAAAAAAGTTATTTCCTTTAAATTGGCTGTCAAGTAGTCGATGTGCGGCAGACGGTAAATATCAGGAAAGATTTTTGCATCCAGTCGCCAAGAATCTCCAGTTGGACGTAGTAATAATAATATATATTTCTGCAAGGGTAAGTACACGCCATTTTTACAAGCATGATCTACAAATTACAACATTTATTGGTTCACAGTATGCATCCCAAGCAGGGTTGTTAAATAAATATGATCTATAAAAGTGAATATCAGTTCATTCGTTCATATATACGGAGTAGTCTTCAAAATATTCTCCAAAGTGGCATCTCGTCCACGTTGCACACCAGGTCCAATCTCGGCATAATTGTGTTAGGATTTTGGTTGTGCTAAGTACTTATGTGATGCAACTTTTTAGGTTTATAGTTGTAATGAAGTAGACTTGTAGAGCGCTTGGTGTGAACTATGAATTTAGGGAAGCGCGTACGTCGAGTTTGTTTCAGATGTCAGAAGTTCCATATATGTGGTCTCGGAGAAGGATTCTGACAAAAAAGAAGACGAGGAGCGGCAAGGATCTTGGATATGAACGATAAACAGTACTTAACATTTCGTAATGGAACAGAGAGAGGTATGGTAAATTATTGGATTAAATTCATTCTAGCTCTTGTAGCTAGAGTGGGATGTGATCAGAGGCTGCAGATGAGAAAACGCATTAATAGAGAACACTGAGTTGTGATATTTACCAAGGTAGAGTAAGTTCAAATGAAGGAAGGGAAGTCAGGGTTGGAATTTGGAGGGTTGTTTATTAGAACAGAAGGTGCATATAGGGAGTGATGTGTTAAGAATACCAATAACTATGTCTTTTATTGACTGACTTTTTTTCATCCGTAGTCTGTCACATAGTCATAATGTAAAAGTCTGAGATAGCAGGTTTAGGTTCTCTTAGTAGAATAGCTAATCCAGCATAAAATTGGAAACATGAGTCTGAGTGGTCAGCGTAGGAGAACAACCTCAATACCGCAGACTGATTGACTTGCCCTCAAACATAGAGAGCCTGATACGAACAACAGTCATTGCTGTCGTTCCTAGGAATTATATACAGTGAAGATGCCAATGGGCTTTTTCACTTACCGGATAATATCCAAGTCCATCATTCACCATAATTCGTTTTTGGCGGACCTTAGCTTTTCGGGAGCTGGTCGTCAAGATTTCGAAAATACAAGTGGTCCTGTAGCCGTGATGTGGCTTTTGACATTTGCCGGTTACACATATTAACTTCGGCCGCATTTGGTAAAGTTCAGTGCACTTGTCGAGCATCCGTTGATAGCATGGGTCGATTATGTGGTTAACAGTGTCAGGGGATGATCTGTAGTGGTATTGGTTCCTAACTGCACGATCTATGAAGCCGAGCATATAATTGCCGAGAAGATTTACATTTGAAACTTAACACTTAGAGGCCAGGATTGGCGAACGCGGGAGCAGTTATTTGATATGGCATGGCTCAGGCTTGAAGGTGCAATCATTCTGTGTAACTCATACCCTTCCGTACTCAATTATTATTTTATTCAGAGTTGATATAATCCATACTCCGATGGTCATAATAAGACGACTTGGTGTAGGCAATGATGTAACTTCCGCGTAAGTTCTTATAGATTAGGAAGTCACATCATGATCAGTCTACAGTTTAAAGACCAGGTCTCTTATCATAGTAATAGAGATAAATGTGCCTATACCGAATTACACCAGCATTCCGAAAACCTACAACATGAAAATGAAGTTCTGCTAACCTCCGTTCGTCCGGGTGGATGAGAAGATTGTGGTGCGGGATCGGATCTACACCAATGACCAAAAAGAAATATCAGGAAACGCGGAAACCCAGTGAAAGAGTTTGAGTAAACTCACATTAAGACAAACATATTACTTACCGTATTTAGCGATGTTGGACAGCTGTGTCTTCATGCTACGGTTATCGCTAACGCGTGCCGACGGGGAAGTTTCTCGAGAGGTTTCTCGTGACTGATGGTTTGGAAATTGAAAAACCCAAGGGGCTCATACAGGTTCCAAAAGACTTAGAATGATTTATGTGGTATAAATACTAGTCAGAATTACCTGTCTCTCGTGGTTTAGAGACAGACCTTTTCTATAATGGATTACCTAGCACAGTTTGTGAACGTTTGTGGCTATGACGAATACTAGGATTACGAGTGAGAGTATGACAGAATTATGTAATGTCATTTCTTGCAATTTGAGGCTGTGTTTCCTTCACTACCGCTAGGAATTGTGCATGCGGGTCTGTCATACTGTGCTTGTGGATGTTAGCTTTTGTTTAGCAGAACCAGGCTTCGATATTGTTGATTCAGAATGGCACGAGTTGATGTGTGAGAGGCCGAAGAGTCTTAATTCAAGATAGCTTAAGTGTCTGTTCCGTCATGATCAATATTTGATATTCAAATAGGGGAAAAAATATCCGGGAACTTGAAAAGAATATCACAGTATGTAAAAATCAAAATCAAAACTTAATATCTTGTGTTCCAACGAGGAACGGATTCGTAGTGGCATTAAGTGCTAAGCACACAATCCTCAAAACTGAACATGAAATAACTGGAAAAATAGATATTCAACATTTAACGTGGATAGAAGACCAGCCTAAGTGTGTTCTCGATCATATTTTGGTGATGCGACTTCCACATAAGATCTTATGGATCAGGCAAATCTACAATTTTAGGATTAGGTTTATTGTTAGAGCTGTACTAATGACGAAACGGACCATAATTATTTAGATTCACAGTTTATTGTTTGGTGTATCAAGTTACGTTGAGCGTTTGGTCTAAGCTGACTACTAGTTGCAAAGGATGCCCAGCGCTGCGTACCTACTTGTTTTTTGTGCTGATACGTGACGGGTTGCTTTCAGCTACGGTTTGTCAAATAAAACTAATGAGGTCAGAAGCTATGTCAAAGACTTTCAGAACCAATTATTTTGGTGATTTGTAGATCACTGACTTGCATGATCTATGCTGAAAGGTTGGGGCCTACGCGAGTTAGACGGGAAAGATGTGACAAACCAGCTTACCTCAAAGTCTACCTCGCGATCAGCATCTAATTTGGACTACCCCTTCAACGTATCAAAGTACTATAGCTGCTTTGAATTCCGTACAACTCAGAGAACTCGAAGAAGAATTACAGAGAAGCTAGTGAGACCACCACTGCATGGACTAGTCTACGGCATACGACTAGCTGGTGTGTGTTGGTTATCCATGACTTTTACAGGGATCGACGATCTGTTCGATATTCAGTGACCCAACTACTGGATGATGACTAGGGCTCAGTGACGTTTCACTGTCCCTACAGATATATTTACCTCTATAAAACTCTAGTGTTTGAGTTGATCCTTCCGTGCGACAGCGGTAGACTTAGCAGATTCACTTAAATTTCAGAGAGTGGCCTTTGGATGAATAATCAAGCTGAATAATTGATGCTGTCACATTTTATTGTTGCAACGAAATAAAATATTTGATACAGATACACAAAGCTTCACTCTTGTCCAGTCTTGAAACTATGATAACCGGTTACTACCTAACTGAGCTTGTTTGCAGGCAACTTCCAATAGATTTTACATCACGTATAGAAAGTTTGCTTATCTTTGTTTATATCGTTCTAACGTTCCAGAGGAGACAAAGGTCACTGGTGGCAATACAAATTTCAAAGATATCGTGATGTTCGAGGCTCGGCTTACGCAGGCTGATGTATGGAAGAAAGTCATTGATGCAATAAAAGACCTCGTACAAGAAGCAACTCTTGATTGTACAGAAAATGGTATCAGTTTACAAGCTATGGATAATGCCCATGTGAGCTTGGTGTCTTTGCTTCTGCGGAGTGATGGCTTTGAGACATACAGATGTGATAGGAATCTTTCATTAGGCCTGAACATCACAAGGTATTTGTATACATAATACACATTAGTCCCAGTGCGTCTAAAATTCTACGATGTGCTAGTGGGAACGATGCAATTACTCTTAAGGCTGGAGATAAAGCGGATACACTGACATTTGTTTTTGAGTCGAAATGTAAGTTTCTCACTGTTGTTTAATGTTTTAAGCCCAAGATCGGTCATCGGAATTTGAGATCAAATTAATGGATTTAGATGTTGACCACCTGGGTATTCCCGTAAGTTGTTTTGCTCAAACAATATTTTCCCCAGGATACTGATTATAAGTGCATCATACGAATGCCTTCTGCACAGTTACAAAGGATATGTCGAGACCTAAGCCAAATAGGAGATTCCGTCGTAATATCGGTTGCTAAAGATGGTGTTTCGTTCAGCTCAAACGGTGATTTAGGTACTGGAAATGTCAGGCTTTGTCAGTCCGCTAACGCTGACAAGCCCGAGGAGTCTGTTTCAATAGAAATGCACGAGCCTGTTTGCATGACTTATTCCTTGCACTATTTCAACATATTCACTAAAGCCGCTCCACTCTCTAGCCAAGTTGTATTATCTCTGACTGAGAACGTCCCTGCAGGTAATTTCACATCTAACTTAACTTATCTCGTAGTTGTGGAGTTTGAAATTGAAGACCTAGGTTATATCCGATACTATTTAGCACCGAAAATTGAAGACGATGCCGATTAGGATAACTAAAGAAAACTCAACAGACTATTTTTCTACTTACTGTGCATCACAATAAATGTAAGATTTCTTAAACATGATCCCGTGTATTTTGAATTTGTTCCATGCCATCTCAAGAAGTAGTATTCAGCACCCGTACTTTGTATTGTAGCTATCACTGTTTTCTAAATCTCGCTTGACATTTTCACCAATTTATATTACTTCAAACCTTGTATTCTGTGTCGAATCTTTGCTAATACCATTAATGTTACTACCTTTACTACTCTAGTATTTGATTTAACAATTTCGTTCCACTGTGCGAATGAGGCATGACAATTTGAACGTAAATAAACACGTTCCAGGTTCTACGTTGCATTTGACCGACTAATTATGATCTTACTATTGTCTAGCCATGTGCTTGCTGGTGTTACGTTCTCACAGATTCTCACTGACTTGTTTCTATTAAAATACGTGTACTTGTAGGTAGTAATTGCAACTCGCGTGTTTGTAAATGGTCTACTTGGTGTTTATAAACTAAGCTATTGGTGGCTCAGACATTAAATCCTATCGTTCATTTCCTTTGTAGCTGTCTTATCAGATATAGTTCTTAACTATTAAGTCACATAACTGTTTATTTTGTGGTCGCCGGATCTTGATTATATCCGTCTGTCCACTGAAGGCTTAACATTAAGAATGCGCGATAAAGCTCTTCCGTCGTTGTTAACCTACATTTGGCTCTTTAAGTTACTGGCAGCTTGTTGCTGATTGCAAGTAACTAATAAATTCATTTTGATGATGGCGTGCACTAACACATGGAGGGACACAGTGTTCGTTTATTCCACGGACGACATAGTGTACCCACTAGTATTTTACCACAGATGCCTTGAAAATATTGCTCGCATCTGCTGGGATCACCGGGTAAGTAATAGTGAGGTTAGACGGACAGGGTATTAAGGAATGGTGGTAAATCAGTTGATGAGGTTGTGAATCTTCATCGACTGAGATGGTTGGACCACGTGTTACGTATGCCCGAACATCGATTACCACGACGTGCAATGCCAACCGGTGTAGGGGATGGTTGGAAGAAAGTTAGGGCGGTCAAACAAAACCTGGCATCAGTTCTTGAAGACACTAACATCTGGTCTGAGTCATTTTGGTAGATGCAGACTACTTGTTTGGGGTCCGCGTGACTATCGTAACCAATGGTTGGAGACTCTCAATGACATGGATCAGGATCGATCACAATGGCGTAGGTGTATACACTGTCTTCCCTTGAACTAAAAGATTGAAATCGCTTCATATCTTTCTTTCTACGAACTAATTCTTTCTTACTGTACTATATCCTTATATGCAATTTTTCTTTTATATATTACCACCTCTGAATTAACTACTTTTATGAATCCGGTGTCCATCTTGTTGTGTTAATGAGGTATAGCAACTTGGACCGATGCATATATGTGCCTAGTCCTACGTTGTAGCTGACTAGTGTACCCACCGAAAGAAACAGGATTGTGTCTAGGGAGATTAAATGTTAGTAGTTTGCATTTACTAATATTTGGTAGTAACTAACTCCTGTTACCTAGTAGACTATCTTTAGGTGTGGTATTTACTTGGATTTTTATTATCTTCACTGTCTTTTATATTTAGGTTTGCTTTGTTTTCGTAGTTATTGCTTGAATAAAAGTGTCAGAGTCGGTACGTCAATTCGTTGCACGTTGTTGTGACGTGATTCTGCTTGGATTATTCACGTGTAAGGATAGGGACATCAATGCAATAGTTATTAAAAATGTCTCAGTGAAATTGAACAAGGGAAGTTAAAATAATCAGAATAAATGGAACGAAATCGCAGTTATTGATAGTTACTGCTCCACCAAAACCAGTCAGCTCTTTCGGAAAGTAAATATTGTTTATGGAAAGTTAGATAACTACAGCAAGGTCGATGAGGAATTCTTTTATGAATCATGTCTAATAACTTAGGACAACCTCTTGAACTTTGCCTACAGAGTGATGATAAACTAGCGAACTTCAGTCCAATGGACCTGGTATTGTACGACTGTCATAAATTAGATATAAAAGCTTCCGAGACGATAGTTAGGCTAACATATGCATGATGATGCAATGTATGTTGTGCCTTATCACACATATTGCAATGATACTCAGATTTAATCTATGCGAAAATACGAATTTGGTGTTTTTTCATTATAAGTAGTAATACCCGATAACTACAGTAATCCTAACATTTCATACTGGTTTGGCAATTATTCTGTTCTTTGTTATAGGTTTGCTAATCCAGACGTGCGTTTTAGGTCTACTGTTATATAAGTATTCCAGACTTATACTGTTAATTTATTTCATCGAGGATATTTCCATCTGGTCCACACAGGTTTGTTTACATCCCCTTAAGCCTCGGATACACACTGGTGGGATTTTGATCTTGAACCTCCTCTACGTTATTTTTCCTCAATAACTGATATTAACAAAAAACAAATCACGGCTAACCTATGAAAAGTTGTCTGCAGGTATATTTTTGAGTTTACAGGATCGAATGTTGCGTTGAATGGAGCAATCAGTCATAGTAATCAAAGCCTACATTCTGGGTTATATGGATATGTTAAACAAATCGTAACCACGTTATTCGAGTATGAGGTTCAAGTCAAGTTAGTTTAAACATGTACTGTTCATATTCTCGGTGTACTGTACTTGCTGTTGTAGGGGTGGGTCAAAAAACCAAACAACCAAACCGGAACAGTATCAACTTAGAATTTCTAGCTATTTGTTTGACCTGTTTGATTGGTATCTTCGAGATCATCTGTGCTTATGTCTGAAAATTAGTATGACTGGGAATCAGTCTCTAGCCCAAAGGGGGTAAGTAGTTCATTCCTAGTTTGTCTACCTATACTAGGTCTCAGCTTATCATTTGTCTATTTTGCTCTTATCTTCCCTATTGGTCTTCACCATGTCTCAGCTAGAATCAGCAGACATTTTTTGCATTTTTCCTATCACGGAGACCAGATGAATAGTCTTCACATTTATGGCTATATTTATTATTTATTTCAACACATAGATATTGATACAAAGAGGCACCAAATACACATGCGCCACACAAATCTCATTCGATATGTGTGAGGGCTGTGATACTGCCCGGGTGCCCAAACCGAAGCAGGATTTATTGCTAAATAAGATATCTAGCTAAACTCTAAACACCACGTGGCAGATTTCTCAATTACAATGATCGGTTTTGTAATTGATGGACATAAATCATGTAGGCATCTGGTAACAGCTGCGGCTAATTGCAAAAATCTTCACTGTGTTTAATTAAATTGCGAGATCTGGTTTATTATGCATCGTGTCAACCTATGAAAAGGGGTAATCTACACTGAAGTGAGTAGTTTATTTTACCAACAGTATATAATTGTTCTATAGTTATCATGTCTGAAATAAAAAAATTTAGCAAAGCATTTTGGTATGTGATATTTAGGGGAGAAATATATTGAATATTTATACTCCTGGATCTTAAAGACTTATATAGTCAAGCCACTTGCTTTTATTTCCTTATAACTTCTTAGCGTAAAAGATGAATCTAAAGAAGTAATTCGTGTAAACTGATTGTAATGATTCGAAAAGGTATCGTTTTTCCAATTTGTGCAACTTAGCCGAGTTAGCACAGATTCAGTTAGTCATGATTTAGTGTTGCCATTTTTAGAACACAATAAAATCGTTTCCTTTCATTGGTTTCACATCACTTGGATACAGTTATTAAGTATTTAAATTATCATTGAGTGAATATAGTTTACATACGAGTTTTATAGTTCTACATTTTGAAAACGAAGTATCTATATCAAGTTAGATGCAATGAGATTTATGCATTTTGTATGTAGGAAGATAAATCTTAAGCAATTATATGAAGAAATTTAGCTAAATATAGAGTTGTAATGCTGGAAGCTACAGGCACACATTAGGATAAATAACCAGTAAATGAATTCTGTGATAAGTAGGATGTTTGGACATGTAAAGGAAATAACAGTAGGAGATTTGATGTACGGGTGAACTTGAACTCGTTTGGAAAGTCAGGTGATGCACTCTTATTTATTTATTTGAACACATAAATATTGGTGCAAGAGGGCACTAAATATATATGCGCCACACAAAACAATGGGAATTATAAGTGAAGAAAGGAAAAAAGAAAGGTAAAGAGCGTTAAAAAAAGAACAATAGCGAACAGATTAGTGTACGGTAGTGTAATAATAATAAAAATGGGGGAAGCAGGAACGTACAATCAGAAGAGATCTTTCAGTTAAGGAAGAAGCAACCACTTTTTATGAAGAAAGTAAAAGAAGGTTACAGCAGGATCGCTACCGGCTCCTATTCTGAGCCATATCTGATGACGTCTCTAGCCACTGTGTTGCACCATCTCTCGGACCCCAGCCAGGGAGTCGTGAAGGACCAACACAAGCCGGCCGTTAGCAGCTTTCTTTCATGCCACGACACCATGTCATACACTGACCACCCCTCCGCTTCTTCCAAGCAGTCCCAGCGTCGGCAAATAATGCACGACGTGGAATTCTCTGGGACGACATTCGGAGAACATGTCCAAGCCACCGAAGTCGGTGTTTCAAGATGGTAACACCAATTGAATTATCATCTCTGTGCCCGAACACACGATGCCGAGCCTCTGCATTACTGACATGGTGTTGCCACTGAATGTCAGCAATCCTTCGGAGACAGCGATGATCGGACACAGAGAGTTGTCTAACGTCCTCAATTCGGAGAGGCCAGTCTTCACAAGCATAGAGCAAAACTGCTCTCATCGACGTGTTGTAGATCTGACCTCTTACAGCCAGACTAACATCACGAAGGCGCCAAAGATGGCCCAGATTGGCATGAGCCGCTCTGGATTTCACTATTCGTGCATTGATCTCATCACTCACCCCCCACCAACACTTATGCAGCTACCTAGATACACGAACTTCTCGACTACTTCTATCTTCTCACCATCCAGGGTGAGTGCAGGATTAGAATACTGCCAGTCTTGTAGAAGTACTTTGCACTTCGGAGGTGCAAAGCACATACCGTACCTACGGACACTGATTGCCAAGTGATTAAGTACGGATTGCATGGCTTGGGCACTGTCGCACAGTAAGACAATATCGTCCGCATACTCAAGGTCGAGAAGCCTTTCTCCAGGCGAAAGATCCACACCACCATTACTTACATCCAAAAGAGCTGTTTCCAGAATGTCATTGATGGCAAAGTTGAAGAGGAATGGTGAGTTTGGGCAACCCTGCCCAACTCCACTGCTTAAATGGAACAATGGAGAGAGGTGGTTGTATGCCCTCACTCTGTCTGAGATGTTTGTATATAGGGCCTTTAGATTGTTAATAAACTTCTCAGGCACACCCTTCTTCAATAGACAAACCTTGCTTCGATTAACAATCAAATATGTTGCACTCGAACAAAACTATTCAGTTAGTCTGCTGGTCAAGTAAAATGTACCAAATTTCTTTTTTCAGAATCGGTTAGTTCTGATTCAGTCGATGAAATGAAGTCCCGAGGAAATCCCAGTATTAGTAAACTACAAGACGTTGCAGCTGAAAGGCCTAACCTTTGCTACCTCAGGGCTGTTGAGTATATTGTAGTCATGTAAATTAATGGTTTGTTTAATAGATTGTTATTGATAATGTCCTCAATATCTGACTCCAAATAATAATATCCCGTAACTGAGTATTTTAGCTAGGCTTAATCTCCTAGTAGAATTGCGAATTTACTCGAGATTATTAAAAAGCCTGAACACCAGTTATAGAGATAGTTTATTGTTAATGAATAATAATAATCCACAAGCGCACGATGAGCAAGCACACGATGAAACAGAGAGAGTGTGTGTGAGTGAGTTAAAAATCCATATATATTTGAGAGTTAATCGGGTGTGGATAAATTATCGATTATCTGCACATTGCAACCAATAGGAGAATAGCTTAAGAGTTAATGTACAGACATGCATTCGATCATACACACCGAAATTAACATAGTGAATTGAGTCTGAGTTACAATGACTAGACAAATGATACAGTAGCCAAAAGGGCTTGCTACATAAGCTCCCATCCAGAACATTGATGTTTTTATGTACCAAAAAAAAAAAAATTCGATTAACATCTATGTTCGACAAAGAGATAAAGAACGGAACTGTTTTTAAAATAAAAGTACAACTCAATATGATGAGTAAGCGTAAAATTGTAATAACAGCTTGTGTGTTGAAACGTTTCATATCATGTATATACAAGTGTAAATTTAACATTAATGAATTGTATAAAGTTAAAATGTAAGCATAATGGTGATCCGTGGGGCCAATAAAAAAAATAGTAATCAATATAAAGTAGGATTTTTATGTGTTATAAGAGTAGTCTCAGGATTTGGTCTAGATAAATATAGTGGTTGCTACATACCTATCTGGCCAATGTACTCTTCTTCCTGATCTTGTTGTAGTTTGTGCTGCTGCTGAATTTTGATTTGAAATGTTGCTTGTTGCAGGTAGTTTGAATGGTGCTTGCTCTGCTGCGGGTTTAGACGGTTTTACAGTTGCCTGTTTTTCAGTGTTCTCTAAAAATGCTGGTTTTACTCTATCGATGCTAACTGTATCATGTTTACCTGCTCTTTCCACTGTAACCGTTTTAGTGTCCTTTCGGATGATTTTAAAAGGGCCGTCGTAAGGAGTCTGTAACGGCTGTCGTACTCTATCATTTCTGACGAATACATGTGAGCATTTGTCTAGTTCGTTGGGTACGAATGATTTCACCTTTTGGGTTCGTGGTTTAACGGACCTAATGGATTCCATCTGCTGTTTTAATTGTTGTACGTAGTTGGTTATATCTGCTGGAATATCTGTTGCACGGTCAAAAAATTCACCAGGCAAACGTAATGTTGTTCCATAAACCAACTCAGCAGCACAACAACCGAGGTCTTGTTTGATGGTTGAGCGAATACCTAATAGTATCAAAGGGAGCTTGATATCCCATTTGTAATCTCCTCGTGCGGCCGTCAAAGAGGCTTTTAACTGTCTATGGAATCTCTCTATCATTCCATTAGCAGACGGATGATAAGCAGTGGTTCTAATTCTCTTTATACCGAAAGTATCTGTAAGTTGCTGAAATAGTTTGCTTTCGAATTGCGTTCCACGGTCGGTCGTAATTGTTGTAGGGACACCGAAGTTTGTAATCCAGTGTTTCACCAGCTTCTTCGCCACTGTTGATGCTGACGTGTCTTTTAACGGAACAGCTATGGGCCATCTCGTAAATCTATCTATACATGTTAGTATATGCGTGTAACCATTAGAAATCGGTAACGGCCCAACAATGTCGATATGAATATGGTCGAACCTAGCGCTAGCGGCGGGAAAAATTCCGGTAGGAGATATGATGTGCCTATGTACTTTTGACTTTTGGCATTGGACGCATTCCCGTGACCATTTTCTTACGTCTTTGTTTATTTTTGGCCATACAAATCTATCTGTGACAAGCTTTACAGTGGCTTTTATACCTGGATGAGATATATTGTGTAATTTCTCAAAAATATTTCGTCTCATACCGAAGGGTACAAAAGGGCGAGTTTTACCTGTTGAGGTATCACAAGCTAAGGTGTCCTTGTTGTTAATGGGGATGTTTTGGAATAATAATTTCGTTTCCTTAGACTGCAAAAGCTTTTGTAGCTCCGTATCGAGCTTTTGATGCTTTGCCATTTCTTGATAGTCTATATCAGGGGTCGAGAAGGTATTGATATTTAATCTCGATAGTGCATCTGCTGCCTCATTTGCATTGCCTTTAATATAGCGTATATCAGCTGCAAATTGTGAAATGAATTCTAGTTGACGAATTTCGCGCGGACTGTATTTATCATGATTGTGCATCAAGGACTTAGTTAGAGGTTTGTGATCAGTATATATCGTGAAAGAATTGCCTTCTAACATATAGCGAAAGTGTTTGATGGCTAAGTAGATAGCTAACAGTTCTCTACCGAATGTGCTATATTTTGTTTGCGTTGCGTTGAGCTTTTTTGAGAAAAATGCAAGGGGTTGCCATTGTTCATTGACACGTTGCTGAAGTACAGCACCTACTGCTACGTTAGAAGCGTCGGTCATTATTGCTAAAGGTGCATCAACCTTTCGTCGTGCGAGTAATGCCTCTGTGCTTAAAGCGCTTTTCAACTGATCAAATGCTTGAATTGCTTGCGGTGTCATTGCTAATGATTTAGCTCGTCCCCTTAATAAATCAGTTAGTGGTTTTGCTAAGTCTGCACATTTAGGGATAAAACGTCTGTAAAAGTTGATCATCCCAAGGAAACGTCGTAGTTTCTTGAATGAATCAGGCAAAGGATAATTTTTGATAGCTTGTGTTTCCTCAGGAACTGGTTTAATGCCTTGCTTATCAAGTACGTGACCTAAAAAGGTGAGGGATTGTTTTCCGAACTCACATTTGTCAGGATTGACCGCTAACCCATACTCGTTTAGCTTCTCAAAAAGCATTTTCAAATGCGTTAGATGTTCATTTTCATCTTTGCTTGCTATAAGTAGGTCATCTATGTAAGCATACACAAACGGTAAGCCCCGTACCACTTGGTCGATAAAACGCTGGAAACTTTGTGCAGCATTCCTTAATCCGAAAGGCATGCGGACGAATTCGTATAGTCCAAAGGGGGTAGTAATGGCTGTTTTAGGAACATCGTCCGGATGAATTGGAATGTGATGGTAAGCACGGACGAGATCAACTTTTGAAAAGATCGACACGTCAGATAGGCTATGAGTGAAGTCATGCAGATGTGGGAGAGGATATCTATCTGGTACGGTCCGGCTGTTGAGAGCTCTATAGTCACCGCACGGTCTAACTTCGGAAGAGTTTTTCTTAGGTACCATATGAAGCGGTGATGCCCACGGACTATCGGAGGGGCGTATGATGCCCAACTCAATCATTTTGTTGAATTCGTTCTTTGCGATAGCCAGACGAGAGGGATCAAGGCGTCTTGGACGTGCGAACACTGGTGGACCCTCTGTCTTTATGTGGTGTACGACGGTATGCGTCGGTTTGTCGTGTTTGAAACTCGGTCGTAATAAATCTGGAAACTGATTAAGTAAATTGACGTATTTGTCGTTCTCTTGATGAGGTTTAACTAATAAATGTATGGAAGTCTCA